GGCTTCGCAGGCGACAATCTACGTAGGTTTGCCCGAGTCGGAGCCCTCCTTCAAATTCTCAAGATTCCCTGGGCCATTCTCGGGGATTTTAACTTTCCCCCCTCGGTCCTGGAGGCCAGTGGTTTCCTCGCTAAGGTCGGGGGGGCCGCCATCAAACCGCCTTCAGATTTCACGTGTATAGGTGCAGGCGGGTCAAGCCTGATCGACTATGCAGTAGCCCCCCAATCAGCTCTCCCGTGCATCTTAGGCCTTCATGTGGCCCACGATGTCCCATGGAAGCCTCATTCGGCATTGTCCCTCCAATTGAGAGGGCAAGGTGAACAGCTCCTCACTCGTGCCCTCCTCCTCCCCGAGCGTTTCCCTCAGGTCCAGCGGCCGAAGACGGAGGGCCGGCCTGGTTCCAAGGCCTCGCGCGCCCGTGCTGCTCTGGTCGAACGCCAGGCCACCGCCCGCAATAAACATGCCGCTGTTGCTCAGGATTTGCACGGCGACCTTCTTGACAAATCAACAGATGCTGTCCAGGAGGAAGGAGCTGACCCAGCCAGGCCCAATGATGCAGCTGTGCCAGGTCAAGACCTCCTCCAGGATCCTGAAGTTTTGTCTGGCTGCCATTTCGGTCTCTGTGACGAGGAAATCGATCCCTGGGCCGACCTCCCCAACTTTGCGGAGCCCTCTTCCTCCCTCCCCCCTCCGCCTGGGGACCCGTTTCCGTCTGAGGTCCTGCCCGATGCGAATTCGCTGACCGACCCCGCCCCACTGGGGATGGACGAGGCGAAGAATGATATTAAGGCCCCCCCCCCCAGCGAGACGCCCCAGGACCCTAACCCCGATCCCAGCTCCGCTGCTGATGCCACTGTTCCTGCGTCGTTCTCCATTCCCGCTGCCCCGTGGCACTTGGCTCAAACTGAAGTCGGCTTTCAGCCCCAAACGCTCTCCGACGTTTGGTCGCCAGTTCGTGACTCAGTTGCTTTTCATGTGGGCGGCAAATATGTGATGCAGGTCAGCAGTGCTTTCAGCTCATGGATTTCTGCTGCTGAGTACACGTTTCGAGCTCATCACCAGCATCACCAGCAGGACAGCAAAGGCTCGGCTGTCTCCAGGGCCTCAGGCCCCAAGTTGGTGGTACGTCGAGCTCGACAGTCAGAGCACCAACGAGACATGCCGTACCTCGACGCGGTGGCCTCGTGGTGGGCCAGGGCCCACGCTATCCTCGCCAAGGCGGCTCGGCATCGACGCCGAGCCAACGGCATCGCCCAAGTCAGGTCCCCCGTAGAGTGCGGGATCAAGCTCATCGGCCAGGCCCCAGCGAGTCCGGCAATCCAGCATCAGCAAGCAGCCGACGGCCACTCCCTGGGCCACATGGCAGTCGGTGTTCAATGACCTGGGGAACATCTCTCAAGAGCAGCTTGACACGTATGAGGCAGAGTTGTTCAAGATCAGGAATCGAGCTCAATCCAGGGCGGTGGCTTCTTCATTGGCAGATTTCAAGCAGTGGGTTTCTGACCATGACGGCACTGGGGCTCTTTTCAAAGCTACTAAAGATGCTCCTTTACCGACCCTCGAGCTCGACTCGACAGATGGGATGATATATCAGCCGATGGACGTCATTGACAAGACGGCGCAGCGTTGGCATAAGCTCTGGACACCGTCCCAAGATATTTCAATGGACACAGTTTCAGCCACTTTCAGAAGAAGCAAGGAGGCGACCTTCCCAGGCGACCTCCCCGAGATCACGACGAGAACCATCAGGGGGGCCCTCCGACGCATGAAACCTCGCGCGGGCCAGGGGCTCGACAGGCTGTCTCCGACTGATTTAGACCGCCTGCCTGATGCTGCGCTCGCCGCCCTCGCTTCTCTCTTTGTCATGATTGAAGAATCCTGCACCTGGCCATGGCAGCTACTCCCTGTCCTCGGTCGCCTCCTCCTTAGAAAGAGCTCAGGCGACAGGATAATAGGGCTGGTCTGTCTTCTCTGCCGTGTATGGTCCCTTGTGCGAGAACCTGTTGTCAAGAGTTGGGGCAGGGGCACATGTCCCTCTTGGGGCGCTGCCATCGAGGGCAACTCAGCCCTCAAAGAAGCATTCATGCGTGCGCTAGACGAAGAACTCTTCTGGCGCCTCAAGATGGCCAACGGCCACGCTCTTTGTGACACCAAGAGTTTCTACGATATGATGGAATGGCATATCCTAGTGAGTGGGGCCCTCAAGTACGGCTTCCCTGCGCGCGTCCTCTTCCTCGAGTTGCAGGTCTGCACGGGCCCGCGGCTGCCCGCTCAGTTCGACGCGACATCTCAACCCTTTCAAGCTACACGGTCCATCATCCAGGGCCTCAGGAGCGGGACACGCTTTGCCCGCTGCATGACCAACAGAGTCATGGAGGTTGCCACCACGGCCAACCCGTACCTTTCAGAGCGGCTATGGATTGACGACCTCTCCTTGTCTGCAGTTGGTTCCCCGCTTGCCGTTGGGGGCGCTCTGGTCAACGGCGTCGCGGCAGTGAGCGACGCTCTGATCAATGAGTCTTTGGAGCTAGCCCCCAAGAGCGTTGTCAATGTTCGGGCATGAAGACTGCCCGTGAGGTGGTCCGTCGCCTTCGCCGCCGCGGCATCACGGTCCAGATCACCACGCAGGCCCCGTACCTCGGAGTCGACTTAGGCAGCGGACGCAGATTAGCCCGAGCTACTCGGACTAAGAGGATGGAGCCGACGCGCAGGCAACATGGCAAAGCACGCGAGTTCGCAGCTTCCACTCGGAGGTTCAAGATCTTGCAGAAGGTCGAGGGAGCTGGTCCCCAAGCAGGAGCCACCTACGGCCACGAAGTTCATGGCCTACCTCAGACATCCATCCAGGCAGTGCGACGGCGTCTGGGCGCTGTGGCAGGTGGTCACCGACACGGGAGGTGCATCACCACTCTTTTGGACCTTCGCACGCCAGGGCACGACCCAGGCTATCAGTTGATGAGGAAGTGCATCGGCATGTGGTTGAAGGTTTGGCTCACCGAACCCCGCGTTCGAGGCCCAGTGCACCGAGTTTGGCAGGAGACGGTTGCCCAGCTACGTAAGATAGACCCACACCATCGAGCTCGTCATGTTAGGGGCCCCTTGACAGCTGTCATCCAGTACCGCCTTCGGGCCAACTGGGATCCAGCATCTCCGACAGAATGGTGCAGTCCTACAGGGGAGGATGGCATCGCCCATGGATGGTCGTTCTCAGACGGCCTTGAAGGGATCGACCAGGCCACCTGCCTCTTGGACGAAATCACACACTCAGTTCAGCTACAGCAGTGGAATACTGCTTCGTACGGATATTGTGGTGCAGGCATGGAGGGAGGAGTCGGCGACTTCAGCTACCGTCGTTTCTTATACCAGCTGGAGCAACTCCCACACGGCAGGCGCCTCGCGGAGCTCATGATGGTTATCGCAGCAGGAGGCGTTTGGCCTGCCGAGCGGAGGAAGGACGGAGGCTACGCCGAGTCCGACCTCTGCCCACGCTGCAAAAAAAGATAAGGAGACTCCTCTGCACAGATATTACACATGTGAGTGCAATTCGGATGCTGCTTCTGCCGCATATGCGCACTCTAACCAGCTGTGTCATAAGGCGATAGTTCAGTCTGCTAGTGACGAATGTTTTTGGTTTAGGGGGTTAATCCCTGCCTCCTGGACCAAGGTTGACCCCCCCGCCCCTGTGGAATCCTGGTCGGCCCCTCCCGAAGCGAGGGAGATCGATCCTCTGTATTTCGGCGTTGGCACCCTTGATAACCCTGTTGTTTTGCATGTGGACGCCTCAGGAGGCCCCGACACCCACGACCCTCGTCTTCGACGGGTTGGGGTTGCGGTTGTCGATTCCTCTCAATGGCGCTCCAATGACGGTGTTCGGTATCTTTTAGGTCCCCTCCCTGGCCCCCTTCAAACGGTCGCTAGGGGGGAACTCTACATGTTGCTCACTGCCCTTAGGTTTTCGGACGGCCCCCTTGTCTACGTGACGGACAACGACGCCGTCTGTGCAGGGTGGTGGGACCGTCTCTTTCAGGCCCCTCGAGGAGCCAATGTAGACCTCTGGCGTGATATAGGTAAAGATCTTTTAGCCAAGAATCGGGACCCTGGCTCCATTGTTGTCCTGTGGGTCCCGTCTCACCTCGAGGCTTCCGAGATCATTGCCAAAGACGTGCCCCGATGGATGATCGAAGGGAACATCTTCGCCGACGTTTTGGCAGGAGAAGCGGCCAAGGCCGCTCGTGTCCCTGAGACCCAGAGGCATCGTGTTTTGAGTATCGAGGCTGACGCTTGCAGAATCCGCCACCGTTTGCTTCGGGCTACTCTAGAGGTTGCTGAACTCGAGCGAGCGGGTCGTTTGGAAAAAACGGGCCCCTGCTGCTCCTGCTCGTGCTCCCCGACTCGCTCCCCCCGCTCCTGCCGCGGTGGCCCTTTTCAAGTCCACTCATACTGTCAGCCCATGCGGTATGAAGTGCACGACGTGTCACGGGTCCGCGACTGCGGCAACTAAGGGGGACTTTTTAATGTCCGAATGCTTTCAACCCACTCGGTGCACCAGTCACACTGTTAGGGTACCTCAGGGGCGGCGTTTACATCTCGCTGGGGGGTGGGTCCACCCGTCTCATCAGATGAGTTTTCACGAGCCTCTCGAAGTCTGGTTCTGCGGATTTTGTGGGTGCATCGGCTCGCAGCAGCTGAGAGGCCTCGCCAAGGAATGCAAGCCCCCGACCAAGACGGGCAAGGCATACCTTGCCAGAATAGCCAAAGGCCTCACGCCCAAAGTTCTCAGTAAAGCTGAGACGGAGGCTCGGTCTTAATTTATTTCTGATTCGCTTCGCGATAGATTTGAATCCCTGAATCCTCCTCCTCCTCCTCCTCTGCCTCCTCCCTAATCCTCCGGTGTATCGCCCCTGCCTGACCTTTCCCTCCCCTCTCCGTGGGCAGTCCGCCTCCCCCTTCTCCTCCCACCTCCCGGGGGCCTTGGGGGGCCGCCTGGCTGTCCTGGAGAGGACGCCCTGGCGGCGCACGCGCGGAGATCCGGAGTCATCTTCATCCGCGGCCTCGGCGGCGTCGGCAAGGCGGGGCCCACAGTTCTCGGGCGCTCCCGGCCCCGACCCCTCGGCGTCGCTGAAGGATCACGACGGCTGCAGTCGGCCCGGACGAGCAGGTCGACCCTGCCAGCGCAAGGGCACCTCTTGTGTCCGGTGCCTCGCGACGCGTGCCTTCTCACGTTCCTGTGGCGATGTGGCCCTCGGAAGGGTCTCGTGTCCTCTCGCGTGCCCTGTCCAATCAAGACCGGGGGAGGAGGAGGAGGAAGAGGAGGAGGAGGAGGGGGAGGAGGAGGAGGAGGAGGAGGAGGAGGAGGAGGAGGAGGAGGAGAGGAGGAGGAGCAGGGAGAGGAGGGGAAGGGACAGGTGGAGGGGGAGGGGAGGGGAGGAGGAGGGGGAGGAGGGAGGAGGAGGAGGAGGAGGAGGAGGAGGAGGAGGAGGAGGAGAGGAGGAGGAGGAGGAGGAGGAGGGAGGAGGGGAGGAGGAGGAGGGGAGGAGGGGGAGGAGGAGGGAGGAGGGGAGGAGAGAGGAGGAGGAGGAGGAGGGAGGAGGAGGGGAGGAGGAGGAGGAGGAGGAGGGGGAGGAGATGGAGGAGGAGGAGGAGGAGGAGGAAGGAGGAGGAGGAGGAGGAGGGAGGAGGAGGAGGAGGAGGAGGAGGGGGAGGAGGGAGAGGAGGAGGAGGAGGAGGAGGAGGAGGAGGAGGAGGAGGAGGAGGAGGAGTCGCGTGCCCTGTCCACTCGAGGCCGCCTGTCTGGTTTAGCACATTCTCGTGTCCTGGGGGGGGGCCTTCGCGCCGAGGGCCCCAGGCCTGCACGAGACACGCGAGGAGGCGGGAGGCACGGCCGGCCCCAGAGGGGCACTTTGGGTCGAGGCGGGGAGAGCCCACGCCGCGAAGCCATCGTGGTGTCGGAGGTCCGGGGAGGGGGTCTCGTCTTCGAGGGGTCGATCTCGTATCCTCTCGCGTGTCCTGTCCACGAGGCGGGGAGAGCCCACGCCGCGAAGCCATCGTGGTATTGGAGGTCTGGGGACGGGGTCGTCGTTTTCGAGGGGTCGATCTCGCGTCCTCTCGCGTGTGAAGGATTCCTATTGAACGCCCCCACGAGAAGGATTCAGAGTGAAACCCTCTACAGAAAGGGTTCCTATCGAAACCCTGTCCAATCAAGGCCGACGGTATGGGTTAGCGATTCTCGTGTCTTGGGGGGGGGGCCTTCGCCGAGAGCCCCAGGCCTTCACGAGACCGCGAGGCGGGGGGCACGGCCGGCCCCAGGGGGACACTGGGTCGAGGCGGGCAGCCCACGCCGCGAAGCAATCGTGATGTCGGAGGTCTGGGGCACGAATCTCGCCCTCGTCTTCACTCGAAGGAACCTTTGCGCACGGCAGGCTTCCACGCCATTGTTTTCGCGGTTTTTCCGGCGGCGACTGCGCGGCCAGGGTGTCCCGCTGCAGGGGTCGTTCGGCCGTCCGCGCCAGGGCGCCCAGCTCCGCCAAAGAAAATGCTGTGGGGGGTCTCGTGTTCGAGGGATCGAGAAGTTAACTCAAGTCGGGCCTGTCCCTCTACAGGGGGAATCTTCCAGAATAGTAAAAAAAATCAGGGGACGATTTTTGTATTATTTTTGCGCATTGTTGGAATGTTTGTTGAATATGTTTTCATCTTTCGCCCAAGATCCCCCTGTAAGGGGACAGGCTCGACCTAAAAGTTGACGCCCCTTCTGTGGGCCCTCCGTTCGGAATACAGGTTGTCGAACGCGCCGATTTCGGCTGGTTTTCCTTTGGGCCCCTCACGAAGCGTCCTTTCCTGGAAGGTTCCTGGGCGCAGTGGCTGAAAAAAAGGAGGTACAACTGGGGCGCCTGCGGCGGCTGAAAGCCAGCGGCAGCCGCGGGAGCAGCATGTCTCCCCAAGAGATGTCAGCACTTTCGGGGTTTCAGGGTTTCCAGAGCAGGCCACTTTCGGAAGGGGCTGGGACCTACAGTCGGGGCGTTGACCTAAGGAACCTTAAATAAGGAACGAGGCCCCTTTTGTCCCATAAGTTAAACTTCGATTTCACATGGAAAACCTTAGCACCCCCCAAGGCAAACTGCAAAACTATCAAGGAACACCGAGCCCATCCCCAACAGAAAGGGTTCCTTCTTCAGCGCCCCAACTGTAGGACGAGCAGAAGGTTGTTCCAGAGCGTTCGGGAGAAGGCCGTCGCGCCCGAGACATCTTCCAGATCCGCAGGATCTCGGAGGTTCGCGATCCTCGTCCTAGCTTTGTCTGACGTGTCGATCCGACCGATCCGATTCGCTATGGGTATCGCCTTCTCGGTCTGATCCGATCCCAAGCATGCCGACGATCCGATGCGGCCTGCATGGGTGTGTCGTGTTATCCTTGTCCGGGCGATCCGATTCGATTCCGACTCCGTGCCGATGCGACCCGACCCAGTGCACGTTCCGAATGTTGACTGCTCTTAGCAAGATCGCGATCAAAGATGTACAGGAACATCGTGGCCGACTACCGGCAGCAGCTTTATTGCCGGTGTCGCCGCGGATTTCGCCCGCCTGAGTCTTTCACTTCGACTGCATTCGACTGCGTCCGCTGTCCTTCTTCAAGAGGGGAAAAAACACAGACACAAGGCGACGTCGATTCTGATGAAAAAAATAGAACATATGAGTAAAGGAGGGGGGAGAAGGACAACCCAGAAAACATTGAAACACATGGGGCATCCTGGGATTTGTTTCTGTGTATATATATATATATATGTGTGTGTGTGTGTGTGTGTGTGTGTGTGTGTGTGTCCCTGGGCCCCTC